CTACCAGACCATAGGTTTCTTTATGTTTCTCCAACTCCAGTCACACATTATGGTGTATATATCATATTCCTTTTCAATAAAATTTAATTTCCAAAGTTGAATGTGATGTATTACAGACATATTTATTTATATATTTATTTGCACAACCAAGGCCACATGTCCACCTAGAGTAGTCGTGGGGGGTCTGAGCTACTGCTTATATTATTATCCTTGCAATTGTAACTTTAGTATCGTTCATGACTATATTTTTTTTATTAAACTTGCATAACTGCATAATTATATTTTATGCATTCAGTCCAAAGCTTGCTTTCAAAAGCACAAGAAAGCAAATAAGCAGTGAAGGGTTTTTCTGTTTGGTTTTCTTTATGAATTTACATTAACAGTCCTTTAATTTGTGCTTCCTTATGCCTGCCTTGTTAGATAGTTGTGTCATTGATTTTGAATCTGTTTGAGTATATAAAAGCAGTGTTGATTTTATACATCTGAAATTACTAACAGCTGATGTTTAAGCCAAAGATGTAAAACTGGAACAAACATTGATAAAACTTACCATTTTAAATACCCACCCCTGAATAGTTGTCACAAAACACAGATGGCCATTGGATGCCCCAAAGCATAATCCAGATTGCCAGAACAGCTGGCTGACAAACAGAGCTGCGGAATCAAGCCAAAGTACTGATTTTGATGTAATGCTTCATTTTGCCTCTTTTTTTCTGACAACCACTAAGGATCTCTTAACACAAAGAGGAGAATGAAGAGGGGAGTGAGATGTATGTCATATGGTTTGGAAGGGCAAGATGAATACGGTGACTTGAAAGCCATCAGGTTACAGCTCCATGAGGAAATGGTTGTCTCAGGATTCTCTAAAGCTTGTCCCAAACCCTCATGGCAGAGCTTCCGAAGCTCACCACCCTGCTCGTCACGGAACATGGTAGGCTCTGCCAAATAGAGTCAGCTCTGGAATTGAAACAGAATCAAAATTAATTTGCCCGTGTTTCCAACTTGTAAATATATTGTTATACTCTTGATGCTAAGTCAATAATGTTGCATAAAGAGGCTGAACATTTCCAACATTTCAGTTCTAATTTAAGTAGGAAAAAAATGACTTGTATGCCAGATGATTGATTGTAATATCAGTAAATCTGCCTTAAATTTTCTGTTCTTTATTCATTTCATTTTTAAAGTTCAGATGGGGAAATTAATTTTCCTTTCTTTCACTTTACTTTCCTTCCCCCTTTCCCTTTCCCTTTCCTTTCCTTTCCATTTCTTTATTATTCAAGGTAGAATAGTAGGTTATTGCTGGAATTCTTGGTTTACTGGTTTTCATCATGTTGATATTTTCTGGCTACTTAGACTCCCAATTTGGAAAAAAAACCTCAGTCGATATTCCTCCCCCCCGAGATTTGGATTGTCCCTCTTTTGCCTTCCAGAAGGCTATTAAGAACTGACTCTAAGTGGGCCTAATATTTGTGTTACTGAGAAGATGGGGTATGTCTAAGAGGTTTTTTTTTAATTTTGTGTATTTCAGTGTACCTAAAATCTATTAGCTAGTTTGGTTTTATTTTATATTATATGGCCAGCCATATTTTTTTTCTAGTAAATGAATAAATAAACATGTCTTCCTTTGGGTCATCATTAAAGTGTGGAAAGCACTGTAGAACACTGGAGAGATGATTATACACAATGAAATTGAAGGCATTCATGCACATTTGACTACTTTGTAATTAAGCTATTTTGAAAATGTCACAGTTCATTTCATCAGTCATCAAAATTTCACTAAAACTCTCTTCTCCTTTGAAAGATATGTTAAAAGTACATTCTTTTTCATCACATTGAATAAGAAATGGTAGAGAAAAATGCAGATTTATCTCCATGTGGCATCTAGTAATATTTCATCTCGTTCTACGATCAGACAGACAAGATTAAGATTGCCCTTTAAATTTTCAATGATTGTACATTTTTTCTAGCTAGATTATTCCGACTTTAATAGTTAGAAAATAAATAAATATTCCTCCATACTCTCAGTGATTCTTAAAATATTTAAAAACAAGAAACAATACAAATATACAAAAACAGAACAAATGTCTCTTTGTTACATTTTGCACAAACCTAACGAAGGTAATATTTGTCTGTGAGATGTTCTAGACTGCTTGTTTATAAACCATCTCATTTTTGAGGTTTCTCAGGAAAAAAAACCTTTTCGTTAGGTAAGATGGAGTTCTCTAGCCTGTTTTCCTACCAGAATGTCCAAGTTATAGAGAATAGTTGTATGGATTTGTAGCTCTGATTTGCAACTTTGTTGTAGGCATTATTGTTTACATTATTACATGCAAATTAGGCATTAATTGTAGGCATTATTGTTTACATTATTACATGCAAATTAGG